AGAATCGATGCAAGTTAAACTGAATATGAAATTCATGTTGCATATATATATATATATATATATATATATGTGTTATATAAATTAAAGAAGACATCTCCAAATCCCCATCTTCAAAACAATCCCACTTCACTTTTGGTCAAGATAGAAGAGAGAACTAAACCCATGTTGAGTGCAAAAGGGCGAGCTAAACAACAAGGAGAAGCAGCCACATCCCTAGACAAGTTAATTCTGGACAGCAGTGTGTGCGCGCACAGGCTACAGCAAAGGACCTCTGTTTACACAACTCCCGAGGGAAGACGCAGGACAAGCTGCCCTCCAAAAACACTGCAAGTGCAAAGAAAAATCAGAAATACAATCAGGAAATGATGATGTGATTTTGAGAGATGCTGTTTGTGAAAACTGAAAAACAATGAGGAATGAAGTGAAGAAAAACACTGATGGTAGACACCAACCTCTTGACATAGTAATAACAGAAGTCTGCCAAGATGAAAGTCTGAACAATTTCTGAGATGAGAACCATTGAAGGCCATAGTCCATATCCCAGGGCTACAAGCAACTGTCCTCGAGTATCCAAAACCTGTTTCAAGAAATGCAATGAGATACACTAATGGTAAAACCCAATCTTAACACGACCTCGCAAACAAAGAAAGTGACGCGTATGACAATAACAGACTTCCTATAACAAAAGTGATTTCAGAAACAATAATCGCGAATAACTTTATTAAAAGCATATGCATGTTAGTCATATAAAGATTCTTTTCTATTTGCTCAATTGTCCTCGAGTTAGTCACAATAAGGGCACCAAACCCCATTTATAACCAGCAATCAGGCACATCCTAAACTGTTGTCGTTATTTTTTATTGATTCAGATGCCAAATTAGGCTATCTACGTATAACCTGGTTACCCAACAGAGCAGGACTAGGAAAAACATGATGCCAACCAACAGAACATGCTGCAGGAACGCTCACTTAAATTTACCAACAAACCAACCTACCAAAAAGTAGAAGCATAAAGTTCAAACAGGGGAAATCAAACCTGAAGAACCCAGTGGGCACAGCTGAGGAACCTCGCAATACCTAGTGCAAATACATAATGAGCTGTGAATGGTTCGACGATCTGAAAGAGAGTGACAAGTAAAACGTGACAAAGTAGAAAGTGAAATATTTCATCCAATCAGAAAAATTCAGCAAAACCACTATTTCCCCATTCTATTATAGAATCGTGCCTTTGTGTTTTGCATGACCCGCAACTGTGGCAGCACTGAAACAGCTTCAAGATACACACAGAAAGCCCAGAAAATCCTGTTCAACAAATGATGAGACGTTGAAGGGTGAATGAGCAAAGCTAATACCGCACACGGAACCATCTGCATCCAAACAGAAGATAAGCACATTACTTTCTACCACCTGATATGGTTCCAAAAGACTTATCACATTGCCTATCCCAAGTACTGCAGTAAGCACAATAGACAATTAGCAAAAGTTTAGCACTAGGATACTACAAGGAACAAAAACTCACCACGTAGTAAATTGCAAAGTTGTCTTTATCCTCCATGTAACTAGACTTCAACTTGAAACGGATCATATAGATAACCCACAGGGTCGTTCCAAGTGTTGCCAGGTCAAGTAGGGTGTGTATATCATATTCCATAACAAAACTACAGTACAACCTAACAGCTAGGAAGATAGCTGTTAATTCCTGGGATTTCAGTGAAAGCCCTGCACAGCATTCAAAGGAATTCTTAAGAGGGTGCCAAGAACAGAAACAAAATATTCGTGAGATTTGGCTAAAAGAATCTGTCCTGAGATAATTTTTCTTGCGGTCATTCAAAGACTCTAAATCCAAGTATCATATCCAGACTCATCACTCGTGAACACTAGGACCAAGAAAGTAAAGAAAATAATAACTTTGCGATAAAATCAGAAATCAGTAAATCCATATGCCAGAAATCAGCAAGTACAAGTAAGAATCATAACTAATACATCCGAAATTGATTCCACGAAGAGGATGATTTAGCCAAATCAATGGATAGTAATAGGATGGAAGAGGGAGGCACAAATCAATAAGAGAACTTTTTCCGTAATATCAATATGCCAATGAAAAGTGCCCCTAAACCCAACGCTGCGTTTTATCCAATGACAGCTAAAAAAGACTAAGAAGGTAAATGACCCTAATCCAAACTAAACCCAAATAAAGAAAAACTATCATGGAATTAAAACAAGGGCCACGCAAACGTAAAGTCCTCAATGCATGATGGTTCGGTCCTACTTCCTGCATCACAATTCCACCGTACAACAACGCACATTTTTCCATTATAAGTAATTTAAGTAAAACACACTCTATTTGATTACTCCATAGTAAAAAAAAAAATCTAAAGGACAAAAGGATGGGGAAGAAGACCTTGTAGAGTTCATTGTATTAAATAGATTCCAATTAAAGATAGCTCTTTTCCTAATTTACCATCACTATGAATGCAATCCAACATAAGCATTCGACAATGATTATGAAGGCCTTAGACCAGATAGCTATATGCATCTTTATAATGAAAAGCAAACTAACTCAGCTGCACTAGATATTTATATTTACTTAAAAGCAGAGACTTTATTTTTCCAATTATGAGACAAAATCCTAGCATTATAAACAAGACCACGATTCTCTCTAACTTGTTGACTTTTAAAGATTTTATGCATCCTTTATACGATCTAATACACCAAAGTACGCACAAAATATTGGCAAGAAATACGTTATCAGATGTTTTATGAATCAAACATTGTTTCAGGTGGGTTTCAAAGAAAAATAAAACAATACCCAAAAAGGGACAAAGATATGTTTTGCTTATTAGAGGAATCCAATCTAAACTTGACAAAACCTTAACCGCACAAGAAATGAAGGATGACGGATTATCTATAGACAAATCATTAGGTCCTATGCCACTATTCCGCAATCAAAACATAGCAGAAAACCCTAATGAACGGGTGAATATGGTAAAGTACTAGGAAGGAAAAAGAAAAGAAAATCTTTTTTTTTTTCCCTTTTTGGGGGAAAAGGAACGCCTATTGACAACGTAAAGAAAACCTAATCTTTTTTTCCCAATGAAAAACAACAATAAAAGAAAAACGAAGGCGAGTGAATCTTGAATATGAATTTCCAATCAACCTAATCGAACAATCTAAATTCACAAATGGAAAATAACAATAAATAAAACAACAAGAATCAAACTTAATTCTTCACATTAAAGCCCATAATCTTCCTCTATTTCTAACGATTTTGATCAACTAAACAATAAACACACACGAAAGGAAACGAAGAAACCCATCGCAATTTGTTATAAAATCTTTACCAGCGCAAGTCTTCTCCTTCATGAGCTTGTAGATGAGCACAGAGATTCCAATGGAGTGTACGGCCTCGGCTGCGACGAAGAGGTTGTCGTGATCGTGGACGATGAATCGGAGCAGAACGAGAGCCGTCATGCCCGCAATCACGGCCAGAAAGGCCTTGACTTTGGGAGGCTGTCGTCGCACCCATGTCGACACGGCATGGATCGGCCTCTTCTGAGCCCTCATGAGGTGATTTTCTCGGCGCCTTGGATTTTCCCGGAAAGTGTGATGTGGTGATGGGAAAGTGAGGGAAACACTAACGAATGAAGTGGGTGAGTTTGGGAAAGAGAAAATATTGTTGGAGAGCGAAAGGGGGAGAGATTTTGCGTCTTATTTGGGTCCTGGTTCCTGGTTCCTGGGTCCTGGGTCCTTTTATATTGGTTTCTTTAAAAATTAGAAAATAAAGAAGCTATTATTTTTTCTTACTTATTGAAAAGAAAAAAAAAAAGAAGAAAGAAATTATTATTTGGTCCGTGACATGCTTCCTAGTTCCTAGTTCCTTGATTTATTTTTTTTTATTTATTTATTTTTGCTGATTTAGTTCCTTGGGTCTATGGACACCCAGCAAATAGTTCCTTACATTACATACCTCTCAGTTTTACTTATTACTCATTTTTTCTAAAGCTGCGAAAATACATTTAGATTTCTAGTTTCACCTATCATGCATTTTATCGCATTAGTAAAATATATATATATATTTTATGGACAAAAAAAAGGACAAAAGACGATAAATTTATAAATATTTTAAACATTTAAAAATACAAAAAGCTGAAATAAAGCAAAAAATAGAAAAGAAAAAAACTACTTTGATTTGAAGTTTTGTGTTTTCTAAAAATATATATTTTAAAGACAAACAGATAAACTGAAATACGTATTTTAATTTCAAAAAATATTTTTACAATTTTTAAGACAGTCGGATAAATCCTGAAAAAAAATAAAACTAAAAAGTATATTTATGTAATTAAGGAAACTCTCCACCTTGGGCGTGTATTTACGACCATGCATGCAGCCCATATTAATGTAATTTTGCAAACCTTCCATCGTAACTACTTACTAAAATCAAGCATCTATGAGACTATGATCAAATTTACGACAATGCATGCAACTCGTATTAATGCAATTAATTAATTACTAGAGTCAAGCATCTATGATCAATGAAACCAGCACCGTAAGTTTTCAACCTGGTCTCTACACTTACCGCAGTTTCAACCCAATCGTGGTTTGTTGGTCTAGCCACAATGACAATCGACCTATGTTGTTGGTCTGATTATGAGTGTCAATTCGTGTTAGTGGGTCGTATTCATGTTAACTCATTTATTAATCGTATCAGAAAATTTCAACTCAAACACGAACTGTTTATTAAACGTGTCAAAAATATCAACTCAAACACGATCAATTTATTAATCGTGTTAATCCGTATAATCCGTTTAAATTAATATATTGAATACATAACTAATATAATAATGACTTATTGGTCAATTTAACATGTTTATTAATCAATTTATCTTTTCGTTTCAAAAAAATAAATGAATTTTACCTATAAATATTAAAATTCACATTATTTGTATTTAATATGTCATATAAAATTTCATGTTAAATCACATATTATTATATTGCAGATGACATATATAGTTAATCGTGTCAATTTGTGTCACTTCATATTAGGAGGTTAACCCTAATCCAATCCATTTATTAATCGTGTTAACCCGATTATGACTCAAATCCATTTATAATAAACCCAAGCCTACTAACTTCGTGCGGATTTCGAGTCGTATCGTCGCGTCGCTATCCGAATTGTCAAGCCTATATCCAACAATAGGGTCTACCACCAGCTTGACGCCTTCCTCGGGTCAATCGACTAATTGGCCCGTGCATTAACGCTCAGCCAATAACCATAACCTAAAATTCTTTCTTTTTAAAATAATGAAAATAAGAATTTTTTGTTTCCTCAATTTGCAAAATTGAGAATAATTTTAAAACAAAAATAAAAGGATTACTAAATGTGTTTTGTGTTATTGCTTTTAATTTTTTTTTAACAAAACAAAAAACTATTTAATAAAACGATACAATATGCACCGGAGTTAACCCCGATCATGAACTTTCATGAAAAAAAAAGGTGCCTTTTTTCTTAACAACTTCAATTTAGAATGCAATGTAATTTAATTTCGGTAAATAAAAGAAAAAACGAACTATATAAGTTGTATGTTACGATAAAGTAAGATTAGAATTTCCGCTAGGCCATTGCGTGCAATCCTACATGTGCAATTCTACATCTTTTAGTGGATGTTTGTTTTCTATATTCGTCTCTGATTTTGAATCATGATTCATGATTTTTTACAGTATTTTCTCTCATAAAAAATACACATAAAACGAGAATAATTCTGAATCATGATTCTAAATACATAAATCAAACATCCTCTTAATATGTTGACTAATAAATGTTTTCTTAAAAATTATAAGCAATGCTGCCTTAAAAAACCCCATATTTATATGTTTAGAGACACGTGCACGATATGTCGCTGAATTCCAAATTATAAAATAAAGAACATACACACAACGTTGCTGGACGAGTGATTGACTGTAATTCAGATTATTTCTATTTCGATTTTGAAAGATTAGCAAAGGATGGAATATGAAATTAAAAAATGAAAGGGAAAAACCATTACTCTGCACTCAGGGAATTATATTAAAGAAAATTGAAACAATGATTTTTTTTTTTTTTTTTTATAAATAACTAGTTCTTTTCACAACTCAAATTTTATATAACATTTTTTTTTCATAAAATTTAAATTTAACTTTTTTATTACAGTTTTTTTTCTCACAAATTCATTTACAACTTAAATTCTCAACTCTCGAATAGTGAAAATAACCCAATCTGAGTATAGGACGTCTATTAAAATCTAAAGACAACGATCTTCAAACTTGTATTATATGACCACGAGGCTCACAAGCATCGTCTCTGCCCATTAAATGTTGATCCAAAACAAAAGGATAAGAACTGACAAAAGAAACAAAACAACTGACGCCTATATCAACGTGCAATCCAATAGAAGAGCAGGTAGCATGGTTTTTTCACTGAAAAGAAGAAAATAAAAAAGGTAAAAAATCATAATAAGTTCATGCTGAAAGATACTATTTCTTGGAAAAACTGAATTAGCTTCATTTGAGTTGCGTAATTTTCCAGTACTGATTTTACACACGGATAAGCTCAAGTTAGGTTGGTCGAAAAAATTTAAAAAAAAATAAAAAAGGTTTATTTGTTATTATTTATTTATTTGCTAGGTAAGAAATGGACATCTAAAAGACTAAAACACACGCAGACGCACACAAACAAATAAACAATGCAAAGTGAAAACTATAGAAAGGACATCAAAGAATTGGACAGTTTTGCATTAAAAAAACAAGCATTAGTACATACTAACAGAGATTATTACAAGAAACCTGAATTATCTTCAGTTTAGCTTTTGTATTTTTCCTCTTCTGATCCTAAGATAGGGTCCATGTTGTCACAAATGCAGATCAAAAAGTCCATGAATTTGACCTGCGCAATGGGGTCTTCATTTGTTTGTCCTCCTCGAGAGAGACCATGCCCAAATGAGAAGGATCCTCCAGCATCATCTTGGCCACCAAATAACCAGCAATTGACCACGTTTGCGACTTTCGCGCCTGCTTCCCAATGAACCGACCAAGCTTACCATCATAATACTCAGGCCAGTTGTCTTTGGGCAACCTGGTCTCCGCAAGCTCAATAGCCCGTCTTGCAATCTGGGGTCGGCCTGTCTTGATACATGCAGCTGTGAGAAGCCATAGCAGCACTGCACCAAATATATAAAATGAATACAAATCCACATCCATATCATGATCATATATTATAGACAGGCATGAATAAAGAGTTTATAATAAGGTTTATCCATGATGAATGACTGCAGAGTTTTCTTAAAGGCATTGACACTAGAACTTGTGAATACTTGTTCAGAAACATGTAATTGCCCAGTGCACTAGTTGGTTCTGAAATTGTTTTCAGCATTTATACAGGTCAAAACTAATGATCATGCTGCTTTTAGATTATGAAAAGTGCATTGATGTTAAGAAAAGGATAGAGTTTGTGCTTCAAGGACATCTATTCTTTTTTTCTTTTTTGGTGGAAACATACCTGGCCAGGATCCTCCATTGTGATAGCTCCACCTTGTGTTCTTAGGATCACATCCTGTCACGATCCGCCATTCGTGGCTTTCTATGGCTGGATAACAAACCTTCAAAGGCATCTCTCCTACCAGCTCCTCCCATCTGGATTCTATAAGATCCATGATCGCAGTACATTGTTCAGGAGTGGCCAAGGATGAAAGAATTGCTATGCAATTACCCAAGGCAAACCACCGGAAATCCATCCGTGCAAGGCTAACATTCCCAATGAAGTAGCCACCACGAGCTGGCATAAAATCAAAAATCCACTCGGGAAGAGAATCTGGTATGACATTGAATTTGTTGACCGCAGTGTGTGAGTACTCCTCTGTTTTGTAGCGATAGATATCGTTCAGTTGCTTCATGTCTATCCAAAAGTAACTTCTCATGTGAAAGCTTAAGGCATGAAGGCGTTTCACTATTCGTTCAACAAATTCTTTCCCCTCATTATCTTGCTTAAGTAAAAGAAAAGCACATCTTAAAGCCATGAAGAAAAGTGCCTGTATTTCAATGGGATATCCATAAACACCCTGAAATCATAGAGAGCAAGTCAGAAGTCGCATAATAAATTCAAATTTATGCAATGGTTAACCACTTAGGAAATAAGATTTCAGCAATTTTTTCATTCCCAGAAGAGAAATATAGTGCTGCTGCTAGCAATTAAGAGGTTATAAACAAGAAATGTGCATGTGGCCTGCATGTGTTTTACTTTTTGGAATGTGACGATTGATGTCAGAAACTTTTATTAGATAAATGTGTAAAATGCTTAGACTAATAAACCAATAAAACATGAATTCCACTTTTTCAATGGCTACTTGAATCCACTGCAACCATTTAACCTTACAAAGAGGAATAAAACCCTATAGCTGAAAAAATCAAGGGTTCACACGGTTATCAACTTAAACACATACATATTTCCCCTACTTGGTTCGCTTTTCAAGCTGTTACTGTAAAATTCCAAGTTCCCTCTTTTCTGATAATAAATCAGAGACCAAGGCTGGATTCTCAATAAGAAACTAATCAAAGGTATAATTCGTTTATGGTCTTTTGATACTTGAATACTGTTTTCAATTAAAATGAAAAAAAAAAAAAAAAAAGAGTTTAAAAACCATAGCTATAAGTTTTCTTCCAAACAGTAATGAAGTCATAACTCACAACTATAAGATAGATTCAAAACAGTAAGATCTCCAAACAGGATTTTAATGAAGTCTAAGTCATAATTTTATGGCAAGCTTCAATTCAAGGTGGTTGATGTCAGAAATAACAACACCACTAAATTTAAATGTGAATGACTTACCATTCTCCGATCAATCATGCAGCAACCGTCAGCACACAACAGAGTTGGAAACGTATCAAACCCCTCTGAAAGACATGAACTGAGAATGAGACGCATGCCCTTCTGGCATTCAGGAAGTTCAGCTAAGGAAGAGTCTCCTGTCGATTTTGTGTATGCTCGGAGCAAGATGATCCACCAAAATCCAGAATCAACAGGAGCAACTCTTCCTATCGCACTCTCTCCAAAGTCTGCCATTAGGGTCTCTGAATTTCGGACCGGATCATGGAGTACCTTGAAACTAGCAGGCATTACTCCTTCTCCCAGTTGAAACCTGTCGATCTTTTTCTCCCAAGATTGAAGACGAAGAGTCTTCAAGATAAAATTTTTTACAATTTCCGGCTCCCCGTTCATCAGAAAAGCAAGTGCAGTTGGAACAAAGTCCCTCACAAACACCTACAAGACATGCAAAGGGCAAAAGCACATCAGAACTTACACATATCAATAAAGAATGAAAAGATTCAAAAAAAGATACAATTTCTTTCATAGTTTCATAGAGTTTCCTCACCTGATCATAATTGAGTCCTTCTACGGAGCTATCGAGCGCAGCAATTGTCCCTACCGGTTGGCCTCGGAAATGTACCAAAGAACGCCTCAAAGCTTCCCAAGCCTCTCCCACCAATGGATGAGGTTCAAAGCTGCGGTGTGACATCGGAGTGTTGAGCCCAGACCTTCTACTAGGCGAATAAACAGACTCAACATGGTCCACATTCCGTAAAAAGTTAATGTCAGCATTCCTTGACGAATGACGCGGAGAAAACGATAGTTCACTAAGCGATCTTTCATCGAACGATCTCTGCCTATCAATATTCAGAGGTCTGGTTGGCCTATCCGTGAATTTAGAGAAATCAATTTCTTCGACTTCTGTGACGCTACACATAGATTCACTATTCCTTACGTTCCCGTTCTGAGAAACGTCCATGGCGAATTTCAAATATCGCAAATTCACGAGAACTGAACAACGTAAATAGAAACAACACATAAATTAATCTCAGGAAACGAACGAAAATGAACAGTTCCGCAAAAAATTCAACAATCAAAACGAAACACCATGAAATACGTTGATCTTCGTTGAAAATGTCGAATGAATCATTCGGTTTCCAAATACTCTCGATTCTCTCTGATTTGGCGATTTCACCCGAGAAAAACATCAAGAAAAGCCAAATTATGCATTAAACAGTTCATTTTAGAACCAAAACAACGTTCCTAACAACAAGAACTTTATGGAAACTCAAATCCAAACAAGAACAGAACGGAACAAACCAAGAAAAGAAAACCTCAAGATCCGATCAAGAACGAGTTATAGGCATTCCAATCAAACGAACGAAACATGCATGCATTAGCGAGAAATCTGGTTTTCCGAAACGAAAAAGGCGAAAATCTGAACAAAATTAACCTGAATTGAATTTTCTACAGAGGAGAGAGATAGAGAAAGAAAGAGAGGACGAACCAGATAGAAGAGTTCTTCACAGCGCACCACCTTCTTCTGACACAAAAAAACGGAAAGAAACGAGCTCACTCACTGCAAGAGTGAAATTTTGCTATTATAGAAATCTTTGGTACGACCAGATGTTGGCTTACTTGCCAACCGGACAAGCCGGTGACCTGCGCACCAAGATGAGGAGAAGACACTGACACGTGGAGGTTAATGAATCAGCCAAAAATAAATATTATATTAAATGTGAATTTTCAGGCCCCACATCCAATAGATGCAAACGTGACATTATATTAAACAATGCGAAAAGAATTAATTTAATATTCATGGTAGCCGCTTCGGGACTCGAACCCTTGTAACTAATTTAATTAATTAGTTAATTAATTATGTTTTTAATTAACTATTTGCAGCGTTAATTTTTGTAACAATAATGCACCTGCGTTTTTCTGAAGGGGAAAATGTTTGTTTGTACATGTGGACTTTGGCGTGGCGAGGAGTGGGACCTTTGTCAGCATTCCATATTTTTTCTCCCTTTTTTAAAAGGAAAATAATGTTTCGGATCTTCAAAAAGCATTATCGTCAAAAAAGATATATACATCAACATTAGTGAAAAAGTTCAGACTGGTGCTTGACGTACTAAGTAGGGCCCAAAACATTTTAATGATAAATGGAATAATTTATCATTAAAAATAAAAAGAAGAATTCTATGGTAGAGTATAAAAAAATAGTCTTAAAAAAATAGAATTTTATTGACATGTTTAGTTCGTTGATTTGAGTTTTTAATTTAAATTAAGATGTGATTTTATATGAGAATTTTTTACTGTAGTAAAAAAGTTAGATGTGACTGTTTCTGAGAGCTTTTTACTGTAACAAAACTCGAATTTTAAATTCGAATCGGTGAAATGAACAGAACTGATTGTGTGTTTCTTAATAGTTATATTGGTGTGCAATGAAGCTTCCAACATGGCGAAATGGCGAATTGAAATTTGATTGGAGTTTTGTGGTTGATGTTTTAGAGTGGTAGCGATGGTGGGTTCCTTGTGGTAGCGGCAACGTTGTCTTCGGTGATGGTGGTGACAACGCATGGGTTTCTGAGTTGCGCTGCGAGCACTACTCCAACATTGTCATGTATCTCTATAATCTTTTTCGGTAAATCTCGTTGGTAGGGATTTTGATAAAGGTGCTTGGAGTGGTGTTTAGTTGCGGAACTTGATACACACTTATTTTCCTATAGCATTTTGTTTAAACTTAGAGTTCATTTAGTATGAGAATTTAAATCAGCGTAATTCTAGTTTTGATTTTAAAACCAAAATCATGATTCATGATTTTTGGTTCAAATCATGATTCTGAAACCATAACTAGAATCAGGGGTTTGAACCACTCAAAATTAAGGGGGGTGGTTTTAGAATCAGAGATGATTCATAGTTTAAAACATCACATCTGTAATGACTGAGAAAATCCTAGAATTAAATAATGTAAATTTATTTATTTAAGTCAATGACTTTTCTCAGTAATATACTGTCATATTTTGTGACTGAATGATTTATGAAATTTATATCAATATTCCTAAATTATGTAGTAAGTTTTATGATTATTTCATATTTTAAAGAACCGGTAAATTCAGTTGATAAATTCTTACCGCAACTAAGGCGGAAGAATTCTCAGTGCATAGAACAGTTTGAGAATCCTAATTCTAGGAATCTCTTAGTGCAGTATAATGTTAGTAGCGTATAGAGAAACACTATGCCATTTAATGAGAAAACCCTTAATTCCCAAACAGATAAGAGGGAATTAAAGGGGTAGTGTTTCAATAAAGAATTTTAGATACAATATGAGTTCAGAAGTCGACAAAGTTGGGAAGTAAAATTTCCTGTCAACTAAGTAAATTCTCAAAAGTTAGTATGAAGTAATAAGAATAGCTATAAGAATAGAACATTAAGGGGTGATTACCAAGTGTTCACTAAACATTGCTTATGTAAGCAAGATGACATCAAGTAAGCAATTAGAAATTTAAGTTGGGTAAGATACTGTTACCGACTTTCAGTCGACAATAAGGAAAGATGTGCAGAATACTGTGTTAAATCCACAAGTGGGCCAACACATGAATCTTAAGGTTAAGAAGTGAAAAGAAATTGAAAAACATTAATTCTAGGGTTTTAGAAGCAATTAGAATGAAAAATGAACAAAAAAGAGATCCGGAAAGTCGAATCGCGTAAATTGGGGTTTTGACTTATCTAAGTGGACCGAGTCAAAGTTTGTTGACCAAGAGTCGACCAAAACGTCCTCGAAAAGTTAGTCAAGAATGGTCAAAGTTGACTAAGTTGATCAATTATCTGAAAAACGCGGATAAAACGCACACTAAACAGAAAATTAAGCTGAACTAAAATAGAATAATTATTAAATTATCAATGGTTGAGATTTAAAATAGCAAAAGGTTGAATGCATGAGATTTTGACATGTGGACAAAGCAAAGAAGGGCAGCCGGCCAAGTGAGGGGTGAGGTGTGAGATATTTTTGGATTTTTTTGTAAAAAGATGCTTAGAAAAGTCAAATATTGCAAGTTTGGTCCTTGCTTTTGTGTGAGTCGGTTCAAGTGAGGAAGCCAACACATATATTGGCCATCTTCACGTGGAAAGAAGCCAGGGAGCAGCCAAGAAGAATAGAGAGGGAAAAAAAATTTCAACGTGAGAAAGAGAGTTTTAGACTAAAATTGACGGAGTAATCAAGACATCGCATCACCGAAGTTTGACCTTCGTTTCCTAAGATGAGTTTTCAAGTTTTTCTCTTGTTTTTCTTTTCTTTTGCTGCCGTGGATGTGTAAAGAAGTGTGGAAATTCTTTTTCTAGAAATAGGGATTTGCTTGAAATGGTTTAAGAACATGGAATCTAAGAATTTAAGGTTAGATTTTTAGTTATTTAACCTTAGTTTTTAGCAATTTTGATATACAGAATTTTATTGGAAAAGTTGAGAAAAACTCTAAAACCATGATTATGATTTATGGTGTATTTGAAAGAGAAAGGATTTGATTTGTGTTTGAAGGTGAAAATAATGAATAAATCGAGCTAAAATTAGCTCGGAAAACATAGAAAAATAAGGTGAAATTCTGTCGAAATTTAGTTTGAGAGTTTGAAGTTAAACCCAGTTTTAGTTCTAGAATTTGAGGCTAAACTTAGTTTTAGTTCTAAATAGAAGTTTTAAACTATTTTCTTAAAAAAAAAAAAAAACACTGCATAACTGTCAAAACGGTTTTGGTGTTAAACAGAAGAGTTCATTAAGAACTCGAAGTATAATCTTAAGAAGATATTTTGAGTTTGAACCTTGTTTAATGAAAAGTAAGGTTATGGGGATTTGATAAACCTAATATTTAAATTAGAAACAAGGTTTTATAATCCTTTAAGGTAGAAAAGAGAAAGAAAGCCATAAATAGAGAAGTTAGTCTTTCTTACAAGCTTGCTAAAATAGAATGGTAAGTGATAGTTAATCTCACACTCTTAGTGGGTGTTTATTCTCAGAAACAAGAAAGGAAGAAAACAGACATTTTGGCGAATAGAAGATTTCACTTCCTAATAACAAGTAAGTAGGAATCTCGCCTACAGTATAAGTAGATTTTAAAATAAACAGTACACATGAATTATATATGTTTGAGTACATTCCATGTTATAGTATGTTATGCTATGTCATATTGCATACACCTAAATAAGTCAAGAACAATTTATAAGAAGAAACTCAGTTGAGTGCCGTACCAGCCTCTGAGAGGGAGGTAACTCAGGCTCCGCAAGGGAGAAGAAAAAAAATATATAATAATGTTCTCTGAGAGGGAGGCATTCAATTCAGTTTATAATCACGGTATCGTTGGAGACCTTGCAAACCATCACGTCTTGATGATTGCGCGCTATTGGTACGAGCACTCGGGCCCATCGATAAGTAAAATAAGTTCAGTTAGTAAGTTCAAACAGTAAAACTATGATAAAACATCATAAGTCAGTATAATCAGTTCATGCATATATAGTCATGTGAACTTTCAGTTATTTTGTGAGTAATAGTTCCTACTTGCTGAGCGAAAGCTCATTTCAGAGTATTTATACTGTAGGTAAGCAACCTGCACATAATGCTTGATAGACTGATGGCAAGGCAGCGGACGAGCGGAGTGGAGGTCGGGGAATAGATACCGCAAACAGTTATTTTCGTAATAGTTCAAAGTTTTAAAAAATAAGATTTTGTTAAATATGTCTATGAACTTGTGTTTTGGAAGCTCGTAGTAAAATTGTTAAGTTGTGTAAGCTAGCAGGATTTTTGAGAAGTAAAATATACCTATATGTAAATCTATGCTTTAGAAAAAGAAATTAGTTTTGAACTATAAACCATTTGCTATGTTCAAAAGTAGAAACCAGAATATATGTCGTTACAGTAATTTTAAAAAAAAATGCTACAGCATTTTAAAAAGAATGCTACAGCATTCTTACAACATTTTAAAAAAGAATGTTACAGCATTCCTACAACATTTTGTAAAGAAAATGCTACAGCATTCGTAAAGCATTTTATTTAAGTTATATAGAAAATGCTACAGCATTCGTATAACATTTTATTTAAGTTATAAAGAAAATGCTACAACATTCGTATAGTATTTATTTAAGTTATAAAAACAATGTTACAACATTCATATAGCATTTTATTTAAGTTATAAAACAAAATGCTACAACATTTTACAGTAAGTTAAAAAAAAAAAATTCCCTCAAATTTTAGGGAGTTTCAAAAAGTTCATGTAAAAGTGAGTAACAGTGATGGCCAACTCAGCAGGGTCGTTACAACATCAAGGTTCAAATCTTAAATCAAAACCATTATAACCAAACATTGATTTTAAGTTTGCGTTTAGAGTAAGGATTCATGTCATGGTTCGGATCATGGTTCGTGACTCGCTATAGTATTTTCTCTCACAAAAATGTAAATCGAGAATGGTTTTGAACTCATGAATCAAACGTCAATTTGTGAGTCAAATCAAAATCATTTTTTACTTGTTGTAAACAAATACTAGTTCTGAACCAGAATCATGGTTCCGGATCCAAAACCCTTACACCAA